CCTCATAGCATATGTCAGGATGTGGGGCAGAAAACATAAAGGAGATAGAAAAGGCATGTAAGAAAGGCACTATTACAATGATCGTGGGGGACTTCAGGACTGGGAAAATTGGGCTGGCAACAGATCCTACGAAAAGGAATTTGTGAAATGCTTACGAGATGGTTTTATTTGGAGCAGCTTGTGGTACAGCCCAACAGGGAATAGGCAGTTCTAGGTTTGGTAACGTGTAATGAGGCAGACTTGATTAGGGAGTTAAGGTGAAGGAACACTCAAGGGCAGTGACCATATGATAGATTTAATCCTGCAGTTTAAGATGGAGAAGCTGGAACCAGATGTAACGGTATTACAATTCAGTAACGGTAACTACAAAGGCATGAAGGAGACACTGGCGACAGCTGATCGGAAGGCGAGCCTAGCAGGGAAGTTGTTGGCGTAGCAATGGCAGGAGTTTCTGGGGGTAATTTGGGAGGCACAGCAGAAACTCATCCCAAGGAAGAAGAAACATACTGAGGAAGGACAAGACTGACAAGTCAGCATAAAAGCAAAAGGAAAAAATATAATTTGGTGAAGATTACTGGGAAACCAAAGGATTGGGAAGCCTTTAAAACCAGCAGAGGATAACTAAAACAAAACAGTGGGGTTGGGTGGAGAAGATGAAATATGAGGGCAGGCTAGTTAGTGATGTAAAAGGAGGCTGCAAGAGTTTTATTTAGATATATAACAGGTAAGAGTGTGGCAAGAGTAGACATTAGACCACTGGAAAATGAAGCTAGAGAAGTAATAATAGTGAACAAAGAAATGGCAGAGGAACTGAACAGGTACTTTGCATCAGTCTTCATGGTGGAAGACATCAGCAACAGACCAGAGGGGCAGAGACGAGTATAGTGGCTATTACTAAGGAGAAAGTGCTAGGAAGCTGAAAGGTCTGAAGGCAGATAAATCACCCAGACCAGATGGACTATACCTAGGGTTCTGAAGGAGATAGCTGAGGAGATTGTGAAGGCATTGGTGGTGATCTTTCAGGACTCACTGGAGTCAAGGAGGCTCCCAGAGGACTAGAAAATAGCTAATGGAACATTCCTGTTTAAGGGAAGGAGGCAGAAGACAAGAAATTATAGGCCGGTTAGCCTGACCTCAGCCAGAGTCCGTTATTAAGGATGAGACTGTTGAGCACTTGGAAGTGCATGGTAAAATAGGGTTGAATCAGCATGGCTTTATCAAGGGGAGGTCATACCTGCCAAATCTGTTAGGATTCTTTAAGGAGGTAACGAGCAAGTCAGACAAAGGAGGGCCAGTGGATTGAGATCTATTTGAACTTTCAGAAGGCGCTTGACAAGATGCTGCACAGCAGGATGCTAAATTAGAGACTGCTGTGCAGCACCCAAATAAGACAGGAATTGGGGATAAAGAGGTCTTTTTCATGATGACAGCTGGTGACTACTGGACTTCTGCAGGGGTCAGTATTTGGATCACTATTATTCACGTTAAATATTAACGATCTCAGCGAAGGAACTGACAGCATTGTTGCTCAGCTTGCAGATGATACAAAGCTAGGTAGTACTGTTCAAAAAGTGGGAAGGCTGCAAGACTTGGACAAGCTAACAGAATGGGCAAAGAAGAGGCAGATGGAATACTATATAGAAAAGTGTGAAGTCATGCACTTCTGTAGGAAGAATAGGAGCATAGGCTAATTTCTAAATGGGGTTAGGCTTCAGAAATCTGAAGCACAATGGGACTTAGGACTCCAAGTTCAGGATTCTCTTTTCAGGTTAACATGCGGGTTCAGTTAGCAGTTAGGAAGGTAAGTGTGATGTTAGCTTTCATTTCAAGAGGGCTTGAATATAGCAGCTGAAATATTCTGCCAAGGCTGTACAAGGCTCTGGTTAGACTGCATTTGGAATACCGAGAGCAGTTTTGGACTCTGGGTCTGTACGTGATGGAGTTTGTATAGGATCCCGGAGGGGCCTGGATAGGGTGAACGTGATGTTTCCACTTGTAGGACAGTCTAAGACCTGAGTGCACAGCCTCAGAGTAAAGGGACAACTCTTTAGAACTGAGATGAGGAGGAATTTCTTCAGCCAGAGGGTGGTAAACCTGTGGAATTCATTGCCGCAGAAGGGTGTGGAGACCAAGTCATTGAATGTATTTAAGACAGAGATAGATAGGTTTTTGATTAGAATGAGGATAAAGTGTTACAGGGAGAAGGCAGAAGAATGGCAGAGAAACATAGGGGCTGTGATTAAATGGTTCAACTGAATGCCTTATTCTGCTCCTGTATCTTATGGTCTCTGGTCTTGTGGTCTAGGTAAGTGGCTAGGAATCCTAGCAGTGAGTAACTCACCTCCTGATTCCCTAAAGCCTGTCCACCACCTACAAGGCATAAGTCAGGAGTGTGATGGAATACCAACCACTTTCCTGGATGGATGCAGCTCCAGCAACACTTAAGAATCTTGACACCATCCAGGACAAAGCAGCCTGCTTGATTTGCATACCCATAATCATCCATTCCCTCCCTCATCTACAAGGTGCACTGATGAAATTTGCCAAAAGATCTTTAGAAAGCACTTTCTAAATCCATGGCCACTTTCATCTAGAAGGACAAGGGAGCCAGATATATGGGAACACCACCTGCAAGTTCCCCTCCAAGCCACTCACCATCCTGACTTGGAAATATATCACTGTTCTTTCACTGCTGCTGGGTCAAAATCATGGAATTTTCTAACAGCTTTATGGGTTTAGTTACAATATATGGATTGCAGTTGTTCAAGAAGCAGCTAACCATCTCAAGGGCAACAAGGACAGACAATAAATGATGATTCCGCCAGCGTCACCGGTGTCCATGAGAGGATAAAAAAAATTCTGGAGTCTCCCAAAACGTTCTTAAGGGCGGGTGACCAAGTGAAACTTCCCATTTGAGAACAATAGATGTATGTTAAGAAAATGTTTTTAATGATTGTTAGATGGTGTTGCTTAAGAACATCCATTACCTCAACAAATGGCTAAACAAGTGCAAGCTATATGTTAAGATGCTAATATGACTAGTTGGGATGGCTTAACAAATGCAGTGTAGCAATTTACACTCATTTGCATTTGAACAAAATGCAGCTACTCTCTCTAATATATCCAACTGGTCCCGCTTTTACTTCCCTCTGGGCCCTCAACCATTTCCCCTCTCTAAGCAACTCTTTGATCCTCCTCATTTCCCACCTCTTTCCTTCAACCTACAACCCTCTTCTGTCCCTGCAGAAACAAAGTCTTTGTCGAAATAGATATAGGACAGATGTCAGAGGTAGGTTCTTTACTCAGAGAGTAGTAAGGGCGTGGAATGCCCTGCCTGCAAAAATAGTAGACTCGCCCACTTTAAGGGCATTTAAATGGTCATTGGATAAACATATGGATGATAATGGAATAGTTTAGGTTAGATGGGCTTCAGATTGGTTTCACAGATCGGCGCAACATCGAGGGCCGAAGGGCCTGTACTGCGCTGTAATGTTCTATGTTCTATGAAAGCACTGTCGCCCTGGATTATCCGAATTGGAAAGTACAGAGATCGAGTTCTCGTTCCTGACTCCATTGAATGCGAGTGGGAAGTCTGCTCCAAGGGAATTGCATAATACATACACCGATCTTGTTTAAGTGATGACAAATTGTTTGGTAACTCAAAGCAAATTGAAAACTATGTGAAAAGCAGGATATTGCAGAGCTTCTCTGAATTTTCACATTGCAAGATAAGCCACAATTTCATCAGTTGAACGATTTCTCAGCATGACTCAGTCTTAACAACTAAATTCAAGACATCTTTACTTGTTTCACTTCCTTCTGCTCTATCCTCTTCTTCCTGTGAAGGCACAAAGACACAGGCCTCACCTGAATTGCTCTGGACAGCAAATTATAAATTAAAGGGGCCTTTGTACACAATCTCATCATTTTATCTTATGTCCAGCAGAGGGGGTGATAAGGAGGTAAAACACTAGCTATCTGCTCCAGAACTGTATTAAATCTGTAACCTGAATATCCCACACTTTACCATGACGATCAGGTTGGGGAACCTGTTCATTGAAGTCTGCAACAGGGCATGCCAGGGGAAGAACCAGGCATGCCTAAAAATGAAGTGAAACTACACGCTAAAAGGCATGCTATACAGAGTTAAGCTTTCCCAAAACCAGCAGATGCAGTCTTGCTGCATAGTCATAAATCTGTTGGACAGCCAATCATCCTCAGTCCCAGACCACAGGATATCCTTTCCCTGGTTTAACTATTAACCACAACCAAGAAAACATCCATGTAGCCAATTAGATATTTACATGCACAGCCCATAATGGGCAATGCAACAGTTTCTCATGAGAGTGTCCTAGGTTTAAACCAGCTTCTGCTGCTCCATCAATGAACTTCCCTTCATCATAAAGTCAGAACTGGGGATGTTTACTGGTGATTGCAGTGTTCACTACCATTAGCAATTCTTCAGATACCAAAATACTCCAAGTCCAAATGCAGCAAGACTTGGACATTACCCAGGCTTGAGTTGCAAAGTGCAGTCATATTGAGCCACAGATGAACCAAGGAGCAACCATCTTCAACAAGAGAATCCAACCATGTCCCCGTGATGTTCAATGGTGTTCACTGAATCCCCTAACATTAACATCTTGGGATCACCAGTTATCAGAAATGAACCTTGACCTTTACCGTCTAGAAGGACAAGGGCAGCAGACATATGGGAGACATGCAGATATCTGCAAGTTCCCTTTCAACTCTCACACCTTCCTGTCTTGGAAATATAAGCACTGTTCTTTCACTGTATCTTGGTCAAAATCCTGGCATTCCCTTCATAACAGCACCGTGGGTGTCCTTATACCAGACGGACTGCAACAGTCCAACAGGGCAGCTCATTAGCATCTTCTACAGGGCAGTTAGAGATGGGCAATAATGCTAGCCCAGCCTGGGACACATTCATTGGCGAAATAATAAAATATAAATACAGTTGGAGACAAAATACAAAGATACTGAGCTGAACATGCTGGGTATGTTTATTACACAGGGAAGTACAGCTGCTGGGATACAGAAATGAAGCAGGTCTCTACAGCAGGTCAGTCACTGTTCTTAGGAAAAAGCTACTATTTTAGCCTTTAGTTTCTCCATCCTTGCTGGCAAGAGGGTGGCCATCTCAACACAGAGCTCCAGCTCAGGCTCCATCACCTTGGTGGCCTCAGGATGCGTCTCACAGTAATCCACCACAAAGCGGTAACACTCCACTGACTGCTGCAGGTTGGTGAGCTGCAGCTTCGGGTCTGAAGTGATCATCTTACTGTACAACCAACCAATGCGAAACTTGCAAACTAGTGCTGGTCGCAAGACATCAGCTTCCAGTTTCTCTGGAAATTTCTTCTCCGAATTCTTCAGAGAGTCTAGGAAGAGGGTGTAGTAGGTAACGGCTGATTGTGCTAGGTGGTTTATTTTCTTGATGTTGTGACTATCTAATTCATCCAGCCGATTGGCAATAGAGACTTTTAGCTCCATCATTTCATAGTATGTGTCTGCTATCTCAAATTGAAGCTGCCGGCAGACTAAGAGGTAATACTGTGGGTTTAACTCTGCGTAGACTGCTTCCAGCATATCAATGCGCCGTTTGTGCATCTTACAACGCCTCTCTTGGTCCTCTTCAAAAAATGCCAGGACCTTGAATAACGCACTGTGATCCTGAACTACCTCAATATGGTCTGTCACATGGTCATCGAGCTGAAAGAATTCTTTGGCCTCCTGCACGTAGTTTTGTCCAACCAAGAACACGTCTCGAGCATTGCTGAAGTCCACAGGGTAAATGCAGCTCACCTTCTCCTCAACAGACTGGATCAGATCAAATGTTTCACTAGATCCAAACATCACAGCACTCTTCCTCCCCTGCTCCTTCTCCTCCTCTTCCTTCTTCAATCGGATTTTCAGCTCTTCCTGACGATCATAATCCATTTCGCCAACATCATCCTAGAAGAAAAGAAGACAGCTACAATAAAGAAGTTTGCTTGACACTATCCAAGACAAAGCAACCCCTTGATTGGTGCCACAATCTACAAATATTTACTCCCTTCACTACCAACGCTCAGTAATAGCCGAGAGATCCATCCATAAGATGCACTGCAAAACTCATCAAGGCTCCCAAGATAGCACCTTCCAAACGCGTGACCATTCCGTCTAGAAGTCAAGATCAGCAAATGTAAAAGGAACATCACCACTTGCAAGTTCCCCTCCAAACCTCTTACAATCCTGATTTGGAAATATACCGTTCTTTCACTGTCGCTGGATCAAAATCCTGGAATTCCCTCCCCAATAGGATTTAACCCAGGTGTGTACGGAGTTAGCTGGTCTCCATGAAGGGGCTGACAATGTAGAATGGTAGCCTCAGCAGCCTAATGCAATTGGGATTTGTGGCACCCTTACTAGATATAGTTTATTTTTGTACAAAGGAGCTAGCCTGATACTCTTACAATTACAGCCTGACCTGCTGGAACCTAGAGACATCAACAATGGGAGACTGGAGAGGATGGAAGAGGCATGCAGTGGTGGGCCTCACTGTCATGGACATAGTCATACAGTATAGAAACGGGCCCAACAGCCTCCTCTGCTCCAAGGAAAACAAACCTGGTCTATCCAGTCTCTCCATTCCAGGCAACACCCAAGTAAATCTCCTCAGTACCCTCTTGGTGCAATTACAATCTTTTGACAGCGTGGCCACCAGAACTGTACAAAGTATTCTATCTGTGGCCTAACCAATGCTCTATAAAAGTTTCAACATGACCGCCCTGTTCCTGTATTCCAAACCCCTGCTGATAAAGGCAAACACCCTACAAGCCTTCTTCATTACCCTGTCTACCTGTACTGGCACCTTCAGGGATCTATTGACTTGTACACCAAGGTCCCTTTGCTCCTTAGAACTCCCTAGGGATCTCCATTCATCAAGTAAATCCTTTTCTTACAAGACCTCCCAAAATGTATCACCTCACACTTATCAAGATTAAATTCCATCTGCCATTGCTCTGCTTAGTTTATCAGCTGATCAATATCAGACTGTAACCTTAGACCATCCTCCTCTTTATCAACACCACCACCACCACCAAATTTCGTGTCATTAACCAACTTACTAATTATACCTTCTGGCTTCACATCAAAGTTAATAATGTACATAACAAACAGCAAGGGTCCCAGTACCAAACACTGTGGCACAACGCTGGTCATAGGCTTCCAACCACAAAAACAACCCCCAATCCTAGTCCCCAGGGCCCGATGATATCCACCCCAGGATACTGAGAGAGGCAAGAAAGGAGATTGCTGGCGCTTTGACCAAGATCTTTATATGCTCGTTAGCCACTGGAGAGGTCCCAGAGAACTGGCGAGTAGCTAATCTTGTTCATTTATTCAAGAAGGGAAACAGGAATAATCCAGGAAACTATTGACCGGTGAGTCTCACACAGGAGGTGGGGAAGCTATTGGAGAGAATTCTTAGGGATAGGATTTACGCATGTTTGGAAAAGCATGGTTTTGCATGGGGCTGGCCATGTCTTACTAACTTGATTGAATTTTGAGGTGGTGATAAAGGTGATCCACAAGGGTGGAGCAGTAGATGTTGTCTACATAGATTTTAGTTATGCTTTTGACATGGTCCCCCATGGTAGGCTTGTCTAGAAGATTAAGATGCAAGGGATCCAAGGTGACTTGGTTGCTTGGATTCAGAACTGGCTTGCCTGTAGAAGGGACAGGGGAGTGGTGGAAGGTTGTTTTTCAGGCTGGAGGACCATGACTAGGTGGTCTTCTACAAGGATCCATATTGGAACCTCTGCTGTTTGTGATACACATAAATGACTTGGATGAAAATGTAGATGACTGGGTTAGTAAGTTTGCAAACGACACAAAGATCAGTGGAGTTGTGGATAGTGTAGAAGGTTGTCAAAGGATACAGCAGTATATAGATCAGTTGCAGATATTGGCGGAGAAATGGCAGAAGTAGTTTAATCCGGGCAAGCGTGAGGTGCTGCACTTTGGGAGATCGAATGTTAAGGAAAAGTATACAGTTAACGGCAGGACCCTGAACAGCAGTGAAGTAGAGAGGGATCTTGGAGTTCAAGTCCATTGCTCCCTCAAAGTGGCCACACAAGTAGACAGGGTAGTAAAGAAGGTGTACGGCATGCTTGCCTTTACTGGTTGGAGAACTGAGAACGAGAGTCAGGAAGTCATGTTGCAGCTTTATGAAAGCTTTGGTTAGGCCACACTAAGTATTGCGTTCAATTCCGGTCACCAATTTACAGGAAGGATGTGGAAGTTTTGGAGAGGGTACAGAAAAGGTTACCAGGTTTCTGCCTCGACTAATGGGAATGAGCTATAAGGAGAGGCTATAAATACTCATGTTGTTTTCTCTGGAGCGGCAGAGGCTGAAGGATGACTTGATAGAAGTCTATAAAATAATGATGTGCATAGATAGGGTTGAAGGGGAGAAGTTCAAAGGAGATGTGTGGAGCAAATTGTTTTTAAAATAGAGAGTGGAAGGAGTCTGGAACACACTGCTGGGGTGGTGGTGGAGGCAGATACGATAAGGGTGTTTCAAGAACTTTTAGACAAGTGCATGAATGTGCAAGGAATGGAGGGATATGGACCAAAGGCAGGCGAAAGGAATTAGTTTAATTTGGCATCACGTTAGGCACAACATCATGGGTCCGAGGGCCCGTTCCTGTGCTGTACGGTTCTATGTTTCTTTGCAAACCAATTCTGAATGCAGTTTGCCAACTTGTCTTGGATCCCGCAGGCATTTACCTTTGAAACAGCACGGGATCTTGTCAAAGGTCTCACTGAAGTCCATGTGAACCACATGCTCTAATTGTGGGAGGGGAGGCAATGGCGAAGTGGCCTATCACTGGACTGTTAATCTAGTGACCCAGATCCGGGTTCGAATCCCACTAATGCAGCTCACCTTCTCCTCAACAGACTGGATCAGATCAAATGTTTCACTAGATCCAAACTTCACAGCACTCTTCCTCCCATGTTCCTTCTCCTCCTCTTCCTTCATCAATTGGATTTTCAGCTCTTCCTGGCGATCCCAATCTATTTCGCTGACTAACTGACCAGTAATTAGCTGGTCAATCCCTGCTGCCCTTCTTGAACAAAGGAACCACATTAGCTACCCTCAAGTCATCTGGCACTTCACCTATGGCCAGCGAAGTATTAAATATCTCCACTAGGGCCCAACAAGCTCCCTTGTCTCCCATTACAGCCTGGAATACATCTCATCAGGCCCTGGGGATTTATGCACCTTGATGCCTGCTAAAATATCTAATACTTCCTCCTTAATGTTAACATGCCGTAGAACATCAACCCATTTGAAATCTCCAGATATAATGACTTTCTCCTTTGTGAATATTGTTCAAATTTTCACCAATTCTTAGGCATATTTTCAGGTACAGTCAAGTGGATATTCTCCTCTCTCACACTCCAGCTCATCTTATTGAATTTTAAGTCCCTAATACGGAGATCACAGGTATTTCTCTGTAACAGTTCAGTTCAGTTACCAAATCTTCCCATTGCAGATACCTCAAGCAATTTGCGCGAGTCCTGCAGCAGATTGAGACAGTACTTTATCCAACACCGAGCTATTTCTGCCTTCTTCTGTTGCAGCTGGTCACGATGGTCTCTCTCCTCTTCACCTGTGTGCAGATAAACAACATGCTGAGTGTTTCTCAATGACTTCATCCTGTGAGTCACCCATCAAGTAAAGACTAAAGGAAGTGATCACTTAGGGCTTAATGTTTTTGAACAATTTGAGTTTAAAAAGGTATGAGTCACTACAAAAGCTCTAGGACATTGTATCGATGAAAATACTTCATTTCTGCAGTGAAAATGGGACAAAGATCATACCACTCTGGGATTGGGAAAAGGACTCCTGCTGCTTCTGGACCAAATTTAGGGAGGGCACAGTACACAACTGGAAAAACAACTCCATAGTTGAAACTTAAAAGGCTCTGAACATTGCTCATATGCATTCTTGTCAATAATATGAAACTATTACTGGATAATGAAACTTACTTTCCTCTGCAGGAGATTCTGAGGATGTTCCGCCTGCCTGGTTGAAGATTACACTTGCAGCAGCGAGGCACAAACGACCTTCCATGTAAAGCTGCTGCTCAAGAGAACACAGACAACCTGTAATTTTAAGCTGATCTTTAGAACATTCACTGCAGCCTGTAGTCGACTGCACAGCCCTGACAAATCTTTTAAAAGTTCCAGGCTGTGGATCAGGACCTTAACTAAAAGGTAAAGAGCACCTGCCAAGGCCAACTCTATGTGTGTACCAGGCTTCATTGAAATCCATCCCAGATATATTGCTTAGACACACAAACAAGGACAAAAACATTACCACCACACACACACAATGGCAGAGGTGAAAGGAGAAATCCAGTTAGTCACCAAGTTTCATGGTCCTCGAATCCTACTTCCCCCTTGAATGCCTGTCCTGGTTTCTTCCCCAGAATTAGGTCCTGCACTAAACCGTATCTTTTAGGACTTCTACATGTTGATATAGAAAAAAAAACTCTCCTGAATACATTGCAAGAAATCTGTCCCCTCTAAATCCTTAAATGCAATGATTATTCCAATTAATATTGGGGAAATTGAAATCCCTTGAAGAACTGCTCTATTACTATTTTTACATCCCTCAGTAAATTGTCTACATGTTTACATATTTGCTCCTCAACTGCCTGCTGTCTGTTTGGCGCCTATAAAACACACCCAGTGGCATCACTGCTCCCTTTTTAGTCTTAAGGTCTAGCCACAAAGCTTCATTTAAAGACCCTTTTCAAGATGTAGTCCCTCCTTACAGCAGTAATTGACTCCTTAATTAATAATGCAACACTGCCTCTTCTTTTACACCCTCCCCTGTCCTGTGTGAAGATCATATATCCTGGAATGGCATAATGCCAGTCCTGTCCCTCCATCATCCATATATCTGATGACAACATCACAATATCTATGATCTAAAGTCCAACCTTCTTTGATCGTAACTCCCACTCACATTGACAGACACATTGAAGAGATAAATTATAAAGCGAAAGTAAAAGAATTGTGATTTGCCAGTTCAACAAACAGTTTCCAATGAATGATACCAGGCCTTCATAAAATCCTTGGACAACTGTTCACGGAAAAGTATAATTTGCTTGAATTCCAAAATCACTGGCTTATGCAAACAATTTCACCAGACTTTAGAAATATTTACTTATTTCTTTCAGATTGAGATTATTTTCTCAGACCCTTCAACAATTCAAGAATTGAAGAGACACTAGAGAGAGAGCAAAATCGAGCAGCACTATGTCTAAAATTCTCCAAAAGATAAAATTGTCTCTTGCCAAAACCCATATAGAACTGGTTCTCCCTCAATTGATCAATTTAACATCCAAACCGCTGCCAGCCAGGAGTATAGCAATAGCTTGGTGCTGAATGACCTAGTGTCCTTAGCTCAGTAATTAAGATGCATTATCGTTCCAGGCCAGTTACCAATAGAAAACATCCATCTTTGTTCTCAACTTTTAAAACAAGCTGCTGATCAAAGTTCAATTCTTTACTTCAATTCAGTTCCAAACCAAAGAAATGAGAAGAAAGAAGTGACATTTTCTACACCATCTCACCTGATCCTACCCCTCCACGTCATGTCTCACCCCCACTCTCTCAGTCACATCCAATCCCTGCCCTATCTCATTCCTGCCCTTCACAGCCCAACCTGTCAACATTACCTGCCCCCTCCAACTCACTCACCTAACCTCACTCCGTTCCTGGTCCAACATTATCTTTCTGTGAAGAAATTTCTCAAAGTTGTAAGGGATAATTTTCCACAGGTAATGGACGACTACAGGCAATGCTAACTATGAGCGCTTGGGATTCCACTTTTCAAATGAGCTCTTAAATGTCCATGTGAAACCCACACACTCGAATTGCTTCTGGAGTCCTGGCACCATGCATTAACCATAATGCCTTGGACTGATATCTGAAGACAATGCACGTGCAGACTTACCTTTGTGATATAATACTGGGACAAAGTAGCAGCATTGATAGCCCACTCCACAGGGTTGTAATGAGTGAACTGCAGCTGGCGTTGCAGGGTAGTATGGCAGTACCAGGCAGCCTTCTCATTCATATCCAGGTGTTTGTAGACTTGTGCCAGGTAATACAAGGTGTGAGTGTAAACTTTCTCAAACCTATACAACCAAACATACTGACATTCATAAGACTGAACAGGTAATATGTAAATGCAAAAGTAAGGCCAGTAAAATCAGGGAAAATCTCTGCTCATTGTGTCACACCTACCACAGAGGAAGATAGCTGTGCTTTTGTGGTACAGAAACCGATGAAAAGGTAAAACAATATTTATAATGTACGAGAAGGGTGCTGATTGGCTGGCAAATAGACACTGATTAGTAGAGGTGTTGCAATAGTGCACTAGATAATGCTGGCTGACAGTTAACTGCTAGGCTTTAAGTTTTAAACAAGGCAGGGTGAATCTGATTTGTCAATGAGTGGCTATCACCGACTTTGTTGAGTTGAAACAGACAGCTTTTGTGCACTTTCTTTCTGACTGCAAAATACAGGACCCTGTGTATTAATACATGAGCACACATAAGTGTGCCACACTGTGAACTTGACTGACACATGCAAGATTATTTAGAAAATGTTGCCTCTCTATGAAATCACATCTAATGTTGGACACCGTGTGGTGAGTTTTAAAAGTGCAGAGCAATTGCTATTGTTAGTACCTTGCTTGTTGCAAACAGCTGAATGGATATGCTATTTGATACAATCCACGTGTATCTGAGCCGTACAGCCTATATACCCAACATCACACTAGCACTGAAATTTTTATACATTACTCCTTAGTGAGAGACTGACTGTGCTTGATGGCAGCATTCCATTAGTGACAAACATCACTCCATTGCTACTGTATAGCAGCAGCAGCAAACAATTAACTTTATCAGTTTCTCAAACTTTCAAAATTATGATTTGTCTTGCTGTGGCCTCAGCTCCAATTTCCTGTCTGCTCTCTACTGCCCCCTACTCCCTTGTCTATTAAAACTCTCTCTAGCTGAGACTTGAATTGATTTAAAGACTCATTCTTCACAACCTTCTGGGGAAGAGAATTCTACACAAGCGACCCTTAGAAAATTCTCATTTGTCTTAAACAAGAAGCCTCTTAATCTTAAATTGTGTTCTCTAGTTTTAGATTCCCCCACAAGATCCTCCTGATATCTAACCTAACCTTAACCAGTCCTCTCAAGATCTTATATGTTTCAATAAGATCACAACTTTTCCTTCTAAACACCTAAAGGCCCAGCCTTTCTTCATAAGATAATCCTTTCAAACCAGGCTGAAACCTCCACTATCAACATATTGGTAAATCTGAACTTGACCAGCCATATACATATTGTGGCCAAATTAGTGGGTCAGAGTACAGAAACACTGGAAAGGAATTCACCTCCTAGCACCCCAAAGCCTGTCCATCCATCATCCACAAGGCACAAGTCAGGAGTCTGATGGAATACTTTCCACTCACCTAGATGAGTATAGCTCATCCAACACCACTATCCAGGACAAAGCATTCCATTTGATTGGCACAACTACAACCTTCACTAGCAATCCACAGTGATAGCATGTACCATTTACATGATGCACTGACTACAACTATGCCTCCTTCGATAGCAATTTCCAAATCTGCATCCTGTATTATCTAAATGGGCAAAGGCAGCAGATACACGGGAACACAACCACTTGCAAGTTCACATGCCACTTTGGGTCAGAAATAGGTTTCCATTCCTTACCTGGTCTGGCCTACATGTGACTCCAGACCCTGAGCAATGTGGTTGACTCTTAACTGCCCTCTGGGCAATTAGGGATGGGCAATAAATGCTGGCCTAGCAAACAGTCTGGTATGTTCGACTGTTCCAAAATATTAAGTTTAGTGAGTTCTACCTGGCAACAGGACTGCGGTGAAAAATTTTAAAATTGGTTACTCAGGACAGTTCATGGATTATCGAAGAGAAGTTCAAAAATGAAAGTGAGGTTGGAAGACAGTATGTGATAATAAGAGATGAAGACTCAATGTTAGGCAAGACTACTTTTAGCTGTGCTGCTAAATGCAACTGATTTACATCTAGAGCAATGGAACACCTCTGTCTAACAAGGGCTCAGGGAAATGCCTTGATGGAAGGATCAATGACTTGGGGACACAGATTTACAGTTAAGGACAGATGGCCTAGAGGAGATGTGAGGAAAAACTTCTTCACTCAGAAGTTGGTGGGAATCTGGAACTCACTGCCTGTAAGAATGGCAGAGGTAGAAACTCTCATAACATTTAAGAAGTATTTAGATATATACTTGTGATGCTAAGGCACGCAAGGCTATGAGCCAAGTGCCGAAAAATGGAATTAGACTTTTTGACTGGCACAGATATGAAGAGTTTAAGGGCCTTTTTCTGTGCTATAGATCTCTATGACTCTAAGTCCTGGGAGCAATAAGGGCTCAGAAGATGCCAAGTATCATGAATAAATCAGAGCGGGGTTTGAAAGTCCACTAGTAATTGCTTGTTGTAACTGAGCAGGTTGGGCTCAGGAAAATAATCCAGCACAGTACTGGCTTGGTGAAGCTGTCAGTTTGTGGAAAACTGGAGTTGTGCCTGAGGAAATACAGAAGTGCAGTTTCCAAGAATACAGGAGAGCATCGACCCAAATGTAAAGGCCATGTTTCTTTTTATTGTTTATCTGTATTTCTGATTGTGGACTGAAATGGGAAAAAAAAACTGGTTTAGAAACAAAGGATTGTTGAAGGATCACTGCAATTATGCAAACAAGTAATCTGACACTCATTGTAATCTTTACACAGATGCTGGTTCAAGTGGAAGGAAATGATTTGTAGACAAACTAGAGCCAAGGGCTGAGCACAAACTGGCAAAAAGTAACTGATCGGTCTGTGGACTAATGAACAGTTATTGATGAGAAAGGCCTTCTGCTTGTCAACAACTATGTGATTGGGTCCCAGGTAGTTATACAGTTTGGGGCTGTGAACAAGATACGGCAAAGCCATCAGAAACAGTCTCGGAGATAGTAGGAACTGCAGATGCTGGAGAATCTGAGATAACAAGGTGTAGAGCTGGATGAACACAGCAGGCCAAGCAGCATCAGAGGAGCAGGAAGGCTGACGTTTCGGGCCTAGACCC